CCCCAAACAAAATCCTGGCTACGGGCCTGGCCTCATATATCAGCGCCTTAGAATCATATAATTGGTAAACATCTACATTAGAAACCAAAGAATTAAAACATCTAAAAACAGTTACATCTATTATTAAAATCACAAAATCCAAAGTCGTAATTCAGGGCCATTTCAATTGTCATTGCACAGATTCTACGTCCATTTATTGCACTGCGGTTATTCTCCAAAAGCTTGGTCCCACAGCCATGTTTTAACTTTCTTTCTGATGGCTAGAAGGGAAGGGGCTGATCGAATATCACTGGGGAGGGAGTTCCACAGCCAAGGGGCCACCACTGAGAAGGCCTGTCTCTCATACCCACCAACCACACCTGCAAAGGAGGTGGGACTGAGAGCAGGGCCTCCTCAGAAGATCTTAATTCGACGATGGTTCATAGAGCAGTGTTTCTCAACCAGGGGGTCGGGAACCCTGAGGGGGTCGCGAGGGGGTGTCAGAGGGGTCACCAAAGACCATTAAAAACACAATATTTTCTGTTGGTCATGGGGGTACTATGTAGGAAGTTTGGCCTAATTCTATCGTTGACAAGATTCAGAATGCTCTTTCATTGTAAGTGAACTATAACTCCCAGCAACTACCAACTCCCAAATGTCAAGGTCTATTTTCCCCAAATTCCACCAGTGTTCACATTTGGGCATATTGAGTATCCGTGCCAAGTTTGATCCAGATCTATCGTTTGAGTCCACAGTGCTCTCTGGATGCAGATGAACTACAACTCCAAAACTCAAGGTCAATGCCTACCAAACATTTCCAGTATTTTCGCTTGGTCATAGGAGTTCTGTGCGCCAAGTTTTGTTCAATTCTATCATTGGTGGGGTTCAGAATGCTCTTTGATTGTAGGTGAACTATAAATCCCAGTAACTACAACTCCCAAAAGACAAAATCAATTCTCCCTCCAACCCCACCAGTATTGAAATTTGGCATATTGGGTAAGGTAAGGTAAAAGTTTTCCCCTGACATTAAGCCCAGTCATGTCCAAGACTGGGGATTGGTGCTCAATTTCTAGGCCGAAGAGCCGGTGTTGTCCATAGACACTTCCAAGGCCAACATGTCTGCATGGAGCTCTGTTACTGGTTATTTGTGCCAAATTTGGTCTAGTGAATGAAAATTCATCTTGCATTTCAGATATTTTTATTATGATTCATAACAATAACACAATTACCATTAGGAAGTAGCAACAATAATTATTTTATGGTTGAGGGTCACCACAACATGAGGCGCTGTATTAAGGGGTCGCAGCGTTAGGAAGGTTGAGAAACACTGTCATAGAGGGAGATATGTTCAGATAGGCAAGCTGGTCTGGAGCCATTTAGGGCTTTATAAGCTAAAGCCAGCACTTTGAGTTGTACTTGGTAAAGACTGGCAGCCAGTGGAGTTGATGCAACAGGAGAGTTGTTTGCTCCCTGTACACTGAGGAACCTGGCTGCCACCCATTTCCAAGATATCCCATTATGTATGTGTGTGTGTGTGCAATGCAGATTAAAAAAAATAGCCAAGTATCTTGGATAAGGAATCTGCAACAGTGACTGTATTAGTTCCCTTGACCCACACAATACACCATGATGGTGGGGATGATGAAGTATTTGTTTCAATATCTCTGCTTCTCCCGTTGTTATGATCTCCCTTTGTAAAAGCCCTGCAAAAAGTGGGGTCAATCCTATGATCTTTTCCAGGAGACACTGGCCCAGTTTCGGCTGAAGTTTTTTTAATTCATTTTCACAGCTCCTTCACTCTTCCTCTGGTGCAAAATCATCCTGGGAATTCTGCTGTTGGGAAGCATTGCTCTAAAATTGGCTGTGATTCTTCTCCTCTTCTCAGGTAAATTGCTTATCCAGTTACAAACATAGGAATGTGGGAACCATTCCCCTTGCTCACCATTTCCCTTGCTCTGTGTGAGTACTAAAGTAGTCTCAGACTTTTGACTTTTTGTTTTGAAGCTTCCCAGTGTAAGGACAACAAAGCTGATCCCATGTTTAAAGCAAAAAATATTCATCAGCCCTGCACAGCACCAAAAAACAGTGTATTTGGTAAGTATTTGGTCTGATAAGTATGTTTGCTGTAACAACTTTTGCCACAATCTAATTCAGTGTTTTGAACGTCCCAGCTATTTCAGTGAGAAAGATTAGGAGAGGCTTGAATCTCTCCCATTGATTTTGTGTGTACTGTATATATACTTTCAATTTGCCTCATTTACTTGAGGCAACCCCAATTTATTTATTTATTGTGTCAGAAGTGAGTTGAGGGTACAGTTAAAATGTATTTAAAAACACAAACAAAGTTTTAAAAACTTGGCATTATTCTAAATGTCCGTTGGCCAGAAGCTGGCCACTTGGAGTGCCTCTGGTGTCGCTGTAAAAAAGGTCCTCCATTGTGCATGTGGCAGGGCTCAGGTTGCACTGTAGTAGGTGGTCTGTGGTTTGCTCTTCTCCACACTTGCATATCATGGAGTCCACTTTGTAGCCCCATTTCTTAAGGTTAGCTCTGCATCTCGTGATGCCAGAGGACAGCCTGTTCAGCGCATTCCAGGTCACCCAGTCTTCTGTGTGCCCAGGAGGGAGTCTCTCCCCCATTCTCAGCCACTGATTAAGATGCTGGGCAACACCAAGAATTTATGAGAGATTTCTTAGGCAAGGATTATTTTGCCAATTCCTTCTTCTAAAATATAGGGTATTAATTGGTGATCTCCCATACAAGTACGACATAGAGCCAACTGTGCTTAGCTCCCAAGATCAGATGGGACACGAATGAAATAAGAATAATAATAACATCACGGTTGTGGAAAAGAAAAAAAGTTTGGATTATTGATGTCGCCATTCCAGGTGACAGTCGCATTGAGGAAAAACAACAGGAAAAACTTAGCCGTTATCAGGACCTCAAAATCGAACTGCAAAGGCTCTGGCATAATCCAGTACAGGTGGTCCCAGTGGTAATCGGAATACTGAGTGCCATGCCAAAAGATCTTAGCCAGCATTTGGAAACAATAAACATCGACAAAATCACAATCTGTCAACTGCAAAAGGCCACCTTACTTGGATCTGCGCACATCATTCCAAAATACATTACACAGTCCTAGATGCTTGGGAAGTGTTCGACTTGTCATGTTATTATACAAAATCCAGCACATATATCTCATTTGCTGTGACATACTGTGTTTAAGTGTCTGAAGAAGAAGAAGAAGAAGCAGAAGAAGCAGAAGAAGCAGAAGAAGCAGAAGCAGAAGAAGAAGAAGAAGAAGAAGAAGAAGAAGAAGAAGAAGAAGAAGAAGAAGAAACACAACAAGATGAGTCCAGAGCAAACAAGATCATTCTGCTCGCTTTTGTATTGGATCACACATCGAACACTTCCCAAGTGTCTAGGACTGTGTGATGTATTGGTGAATAATGCGTGCAGATCCGAGTAGGGTGGCCTTTGGCAGTTGGCAGATGGTAGTTTTGTCAGCGCCGATTGTATTTAAGTGCAGGCCAAGGTCTTTAGGCACTGCACCCAGTATTCCAATCACCACTGGGACCACCTTTACTGGCTTGTGCAAGAGTCTTTGCAGTTCAATCTTTAAATCCTTGTATTTTGACAGCTTTTCCAGTTGTTTCTCTGCAAGCCTATTATTATTATTATTATTATTATTATTATTATTATTATCATTATCATTATTATGATTATTATTACCAACCTTCATCTCCCTGAAGTGACTCAGGGCAGCTTACAAGGGGACAAGCCCAAAAATACAGATTAAAACACACACAATAAAATAAAATCAACAACAACACATCAGGAAAAAAACATATCACAATCACAAGCAAACATTTAAAACCATATAATGGTTGAACAATTAGGTGCTGAATACGGAGGGCTCAGGGTATGTACAATGGTTCCTAAATAGGGCCGAGGGAAAGTGCAAGATTCAATTCAAATACAATAAAGCCCAGCTGGGAGGGTAATGCCCTTAGTCAATTAAAGTGTCAGGATTACAGGAAGGAGGGCCAAACTAAAGTACAGGAGCTTTGGTGAGATCAAAGTCAAATGCACAACAGAACATCCAGGTTTTTAAGTCCTTGTGTAAAATGGATAGAGTAGGTGCCAGTCTGATCTCCTTAGGTAGAGAGTTCCATAGCCTTCCTTCTGTTGGAGGAAAATATTTTAAATGCTTCCATTTGTGTATAGTAGTCTTCTTCCCAAAATTTATTTCCAAATGTTTACTTCTGGAAGAAGTTGACCATAGACTCTTGCTAGAGGAGTTTAGGAAGGTGTTCTCTTGAAATGTAAAAAAAAGTTTTTCCCACCTTTGCAGGGGCCTCGATCCCTAACCCCAGCAAATGTGGAGGGATGACTGTAATGTTTTAGTTAAGGTTTGTGGCAGCCAAAATGCATTTGCAAGACAAAATAACCCGGGTTCCACTTTTCAACTGATTCTACTTTAAATAATAACAACAACTACTACTATTACTTTATTTGTACCCTAACACTATCTCCCCGAAGGGACTTGGGGCGGCTAACATGGGGCCAAGCCCAAGCAATTACAATAAGGCAAAATAAAATACAGGACAGACAATAACATCAAGTTACATGGTAATACCATAAAATAGTTACAATAACATAATAAAACAGAGTGTAAAATGGTATACAAGGATTAAATGAAGGCGAGCTGGCCAAATGCAAAGGGTAAAAATTGTAAAACCCGTGGGTGAGGTAACCAGATAAAGTACTGTGTCTAGTGGGAGTCTCGGGTGGGATAAACGATGAAGTTAATCTCCACTGAGGGATGAGATAAAGGGCATTAGAAAAACAATTGACACTGGGATGGGACCTAGCATGGGAATTATTCATTCATCAAAAGCACACTGGAAAACCCAAGTTTTTAAACTTTTCCTAAAGGCTGCCAGGGTGGGTGCTTGCCTAATCTCCCTGGGGAGCAAGTTCCAGAGCTGAGGGGCCACCACGGAGAAGGCCCTCTACCTCGTCCCCACAAGCCGTGCTTGTGATGGAGGAGGGAGTAAGAGGAGGGTCTCCCCTGAAGATCAAAGGGATTGCACAGGTTCGTAGGGGGAGATGCGATCATGAAGGTAGGCAGGTCCCAAACCATTCAGGGCTTTGTAGGTGATAGCCTGCACCTTGAATTGGGACCAGAAAATGAGCGGCAGCCAATGGAGTTCCATAAACAGGGGTGTTGACCGCTCCTTGTGATTCGCTCCAGTTAGTAGTTTGGCTGCCAATTGCTGGACCAATTGAAGTTCTTCAAGGGTAGCCCCACGTAGAGTGCATTGCAATAGTCCAATCTAGAGGTAACTAAGACATGGACCACCATGGCCAGATCAGACTTCCTGAGGTACTGTCACAGCTGACGAATGAGTTTTAGTTGTGCAAAAGTCCTCCTAGCCACTGCTGACACCTGCGCATCAAGTGTCAATGCTGAATCCAGAACCCCCAGACTGCGGACCTGTGTCTTCAGGGGCAGTACGACCCTGTCAAGCACAGGTTGCCGCCCCATACCCCGATCTGACTTGTGACTGAACTGGAGGATCTTTGTCTTGTTGGGATTAAGCAACTTGTTTGCCCTCATCCAGGCCATCACAGTGGTCAGACACTGGTCCAGTATCCAAGGGGCTTCCTTGGATTTTGATGGAAGAGTAGTAGAGTTGGGTGTCATATGCCTAGAGATGGCACCGAACTCCAAAACTCCGGATGACCTCTCCCAGTGGTTTCATGTAGATGTTGAAAAGCATGGGGGACAGAGTGGAGCCTTGCGGGACCCCACAGGGCAATGGCCAGGGGTCAGAGCAGGTGTCCCCCAGCTTCACCAACTGGGAACGGCCCTCCAAGAAGGACCAGAGCCACAGCAGAGCCATGCTCCCAAGCCCTATCCCAGAGAGCCGACCCAGAATGATACCACGACTGATGGTATCTGAAGCCACTGAGATGTCCAAGAGAACCAGCAGGCTCACAGTCCCCCTGTCCAGATCCCTGCGGAGATCATCCACCAAGGCAACCCAAGCCGTGTCAGTACCGTGCCCAGGTCTGAAACCAGACTGCGACTGGTCTAGAAAATTGGTGTCATCTAGGAATCCCTGGACCTGAGAGGTGACCACCTGCTCTAGCACCCTGCCCAAAAAGGGAGGTTAGAGATTGGTCTGTAGTTGTTTAATACAGCAGAGTCGAGGGAGATCTTTTTCAATATTGCCTGCTTAAGGCATGACAGAAATTTCTCTTGAACCAATGAAGCATTTATTATAGCCACAAACCACTCTACTAACCCACCTCTGGCCAGTTTAACTAGCCAAGAAGGGCAAGGGTCCAGGGCACAAGTGATCTCTCTCACAGCCTCAAGGATCCTGTGACAGATAAGTGGGGGCTCCTGTCAGATAAGTGGGGGCTTCCTGTAACTGTCTCCAACTTCGATGCTAACAAATTCTTTTCCTTCTTTTTCCACACCATTCCTCTTTGTTGTAGCAAATGTGATGCTCGATCCAGATACTGCATATCATAAACTTGCCATCTCTATGAATTTAAAAAATGTATGGTGGGAAAAGTCAACACAGACTGTGACAAACAACTCAAAAAGGTTTAATGTCGGCACCTGTGTGCTGGGCCAAGAAGGATTCACCTCAGGAAGCCACTGGTGGAATGTAGAAGTAGTCAGCGGCCACGCCTGGGCCCTGGGTGTTGCCAGAGAATTTGTGGATCAGAAAGAGAACTCCCAGTTTCATGAAGAATTGCCCTATTGGACTATTGAAAATCGCTATTACTCCTTATATATGATCCATAGAATAAGAGTTGTTCTGAACTATAGTGGTGGCCAGGTGTTGTTCTTTGATGCTGACAGTGGAGATCAGCTTTACGAAATACAAGCTGTGTTCTTAGGAGAGAAAATCTACCCCTTCTTCTGTCTGGGGTTCAATACTCATCTTAGGCTCCTTGACTGTCCACCTGGAAAATAGTGTTATGTCCTAAACTGACCACCTTCACTTGGTTACTCTGGAGAATCTAGATAAACATCGTATTGTTGAAGGCTTTCATGGCTGGAATCACTGGGTTGTTGTATCCATTACATGCACCCTTTAGTGGAGTCCACTGCCGTATAGAAATATGCCATGAAAGCACTTCTGAAAGATGGCCATCCAACCCCTTTTCAAAGACATCAACAGAAGACGTGTTCACTATCATCCAAGGCAAACTGTTCGATGAACTATCTCAGGCTGGATCCACACTGCCATGTAATGCAGTTTGAAACAGAATTATATGATCAGGTTTTGTGTGTGTGTGTGTGTGTGTGTGTCTGAGGAATGAGTTGAGAAACTGTGTCACTTCTGGTGAGAGAAAACTGGCCATCTGCAAGGATACAGGTCTGCATGCCCAGGGGAAACCCAGATGTTTGATGTTTTGCCATTCTGTGGGAGGCTTCTCTCATTCCCCTGCATGGTGAGCTGGAGCTGACAGAGAGAGCTCACCCGCTCTCCCCAGATTCGAACCACTGACCTAATGGTCAGCAGTCCTGCCAGCACAAGGATTAAACCCACTGCACCACATGGGGCTCCACTGATCAGTGTAGTCCGATATAATGCAGTTTAACTGCATTATATGGGACTACATTGTATGAATCTATATTCACTTTATAATGCAGTGTCAAACTGCGTTAAATGGCAGTATAGTTCCAGCCTCAGATAGGCCTACTTTTAGCCAAAAAAAAAAACTTTGGTTGGATAAAATATGGCGGCACATATTTTAAAACTGTTTTTAATCTTCCAAGATTGTAAAACTTTTATAGATTTTTTGCAGAAGAAAGAAAATGAGCTGATAATATTCGATTTTGACAAGTATTAGAATTAGGTTAGCAGATGAAGTGTCCAGAGCAGTTTAAAACTTTACACACTTTCAACCCTCCTTACCCATGGATTCTACTTTCATGAGTTGAAAATATGTTTTTAAAAATCCAAACTATATATATATAATGCCATTTTATATGAGGGGCACCATTTTACATCTTTGTATAAACTGGGACTTCAGCATCTATGGATTTTGATATCCGTAGATGTGCAGGTACAACTGTACCAGGAGCTCCAATTTTGTTTGCTTTGCATTGAATGTTTGTTGTAGTCCTAAGTTTCAGGGACTCTGCAGATAGGTGGCTTCCTTTGGCTGCAATCATAGGGCAAGCCACCTCTCAATTATAGTTAGGTTCCCTGTTCCCGCCCTCTTTTTGAGTTTTAGAGGGAATAGGAGCCATTTTGGATTCAGTCCACACAGAGAAGCCTTTCATGCAGGACATAATACCAAGAGCTCCTGTAGAAAGCTTCGTCTTCTACGTCTTGGCCAGGAAGATATACAGCCCACAGCTTGGCCAGGATTACACAGCCCTACATCTCCTTTGCTCAAGGACTTTAGTCAGCCATCACGGAAACCTGAATTCTTTTCCCCCTGGAAGTCTACAAAGCTCTGCTTGGTAAGGGTCGCTCGCGGAAGCCAGAAGCAGTTGGTACCGGGTGCAGGGGCTCAACGCCAACAGAGGCAAAGACAGACTGCCCAGATTAGAAGTTAAGGATTTCCCCATTGGTTACAGTTATGAAGATAGTGCCTGTTCCCTGTGGACAAGATTGAGAGAGAGCCAATATACTGTTAAGAAAGCCTTAAAGTACCTGTTTGTTTTCATGAATAAAGAACTTTGTTGAACCTTTGAGCAATCTAAAGACTCTGTTTTAAGGAAATCCAAAGGCCTTTAATCTGAGGCAGCCCCGGCGTCCCGTTGGGCACACAGAATTTATGTCCTGTCTACAGTCTGATGCACAGGCCCAGCGTGCGACAGCACAGTAGAAGTTTTGGAGCCAAACTGTATACCAAGGGCCCATCACCTTATATACTTGAGTATAAACTGACCCGAATGTAAGCCAAAGCACCTAATCTTACCACAAAAAAACTGGGAAAACTTATTGACTCGAGTATAAGCTGGGGGTGGGAAATGCAGCAGCTACTGCATTTAAACATAAAAATAGATATCAGTGAAATTACATTAATTGAGACATCAGCAGGTTAAATGTTTTTGAATATTTACATAAAACTGTAATTTAAGACTGTCTAACTTTCTTCAATGTAAATGTACTTACGTGTCCTTCCAATAATAATAAATAAAATAAAATAATAATAATAATAATAATAATAATAATAATAATAATAATAATAATAATAATAATAATAGAGTAAAATATTACAACTACACAACCCTGAAACATCAGGCCTAAATCTCCATTTGCAGATTTGGCTCAAAATGGTTAGTAAAAATTGATAACTTGATAACTCATTGTTTCAGGTTAGCCCTCCTCCATAATAAGTGGATCCTTGAAAATACAGGTCTGCATGCTCAGGAGACACAAGAAAGTGTGATGTCTTTATTTTGGTGCTCTTCAACACAATGAAATTATACAACCATGAGCCACTAGATGGCATTAGTGTTCGGTCCAAGCCTGTCAAACTTCTCATTCAAAAACGTCAGGTTTAGCACAGCTGCTATTTACAATACAACTCCTAGTTATCTGTCTCCAAGATATGCCCAGAGGCTTCAAAGCCAGAGAAGTTTTTTCTGACTCCTTCTTCCACAATTTGTCTCTCAGCAATTCTTCTTGTATGCCATTACAACTTTCCTTCACTGGTCTCTCTTTCCCAATCTCTCTGGGCCTCTAAATGGTTTCCTATTACTACTAATCCTTTACAATCCAGTGCACTCTTATAGGCTCCACTCAGAATCCTCTGCTTGGGTGGTGCCCTCCCTAAGTGCAACTCTGTTACACTAATTAAACTCTTTTTAACTTATTGAGTAATTTTAATGTTTTTTTTTTTGTCGTGTCAGGAGTGACTTCAGAAACTGTAAGTCGCTTCTGGTGTGAGAGAATTGGCCATCTGCAAGGACATTGCCCAGGGGACGCCTGGATGATATGATGTTTTTATCATCTTTGTGGGAGGCTTCTCTCATGTCCTCACATGAGGAGCTGGAGCTGATAGAGGGAGCTCATCCACCTCTCCCCGGATTCGAACCTGCGACCTGTCGGTCTTCAGTCCTACCGGCACAGGGGTTTAACCCACTGTGCCACCAGGGGCTCTTATTTTAATAAGTTTCTATCATGAAATATACTGCTTTGAAATTGGGTCTATCATTTTGAAACATCCTGTATAGTGGGCCATCTGCATTGCCAGAAATACAGTTTAATGGTGTAACATTAGAAAACGTTGACCATTTCTGCTACCTTGGCAGCCAGCTGTCCACAAAAGTCAACACATCCAGAGAGTGCTGTGGACTCAAACAATGATGGGTCTGGACAAAACTTGGTTGTAGTGGTTGTTGTTCCTGCTGTTAAAGATGTACCCCAAGCCTCTACCTTCCAAGTGGACAATTTCAGAGTTTAGATTTCTGGATTCTGCATAAGAGGTGCTTAAGTCTTACTTAAATCAAGAAATAGTTTTCCAAGATCTACAGAGACACTCGCTGGAACACCCCAGCAAGCGAGAGTCCAAAAGTGGCAGGCTCAAACCCAGAACCTCAATCAATGGCTGATACCCAATGAGAGACTCCCCCCTGGGCACACAGAAAACTGGGCGACTTGGAAGGCGCTGAACAGACTGCGCTCTGGCACCACGAGATGCAGAGCCAACCTTCAGAAATGGGGCTACAAAGTGGAATCCACAACATGCGAGTGTGGAGAAGAGCAAACCACTGACCACCTGCTGCAATGCAACCTGAGCCCTGCCACATGCACCATGGAGGACTTTCTTGCGGCAACCCCAGAGGCACTCCAAGTGGCCAGATACTGGTCAACGGACATTTAATCAACTACCAAGTTTGCAAAATCTGTGGGGTTTTTTTTTTGTTTTGTTTGTTTGTTTGTTTAAAAATGCAATACAACTGTTTGGTCTGCTCCTGACACAATAAATAAATAAATTTCATTAGCAGGCCTGGGCAATTGGCCGTCCAGGTGTTTTGGACTTCAACTCCCACAATTCCTCACAACCTACCAGTGGTTAGAAATTGTGGAAGTTGACATCCAAAACACCTGGACGGCCCAAGTTTGCCCAGACCTGTGCAGGGCAAACTTAATCGGCTGAGGGGGAAAACAAAGGGGCCTGGGGCTGTTAGGAGTTGTGGGAGTAGAAGTCCAAAACACCCGGAGGTCCCAAGTTTGCCCAGGACTGTGCAGCTACAGCAGGCCTGGGCAAACATAATCAGCTGAGAAGGGAAAGGAAGGGGCCTGAGTCTGTTAGGAATTGTGGGAGTTGGAGTCCAAAATATCCGGAGGGCCCAAGTTTGCCCATACCTGTGCAGCTATAGCAGACCTGGGCAAGCTTAATCAGAGACTGTTAGGAATTGTGGGAGTTGGAGTCCAAAACTCCCGGGGGGGCCAAGTTTGTCCAGGACTGTGCAGCTATAGCAGACCTGGGCAAACCTAATCAGAGACTGTTAGGAATTGTGGGTGTTGGAGTCCAAAACACCCGGACAGCCCAAGTTTGCCCATACCTGTGCAGCTATAGCAGACCTGGGCAAACCTAATCAGAGACTGTTAGGAATTGTGGGTGTTGGAGTCCAAAACTCCCGGGGGGGGGGGGCAGGTTTGTCCAGGACTGTGCAGCTATAGCAGGCCTGGGCGAACTTAATCAACTGAGGGGGGAAAGGAAGGGGGCTGAGGCTGTTGGGAATTGTGGGAGGTGGAGTCCAAAACTCCCGGAGGGCCCACGTTTGCCCAGGGCTGAGCTCTAGCCTGTGGTCTCCTCTCTGCTTTTCCAAGCGGCGCCCTCCCTTCCGGAGAGTTGGTAACAAAAGCGAAAGCAAAGCAGCCGTGCAAAGAGGAGCCTGCCCTGCCCTGCCCCCTGGGGAGAGGAGCCCGGAGAGTGTGCGCGCCCCCCTAAGCCACCCTGCCACCCCCAGCGCCATGGCTTCCAGCCTCGCGGAAGACCTGGTGTGCCCCATCTGCCTGTCCCTCTTCCAGGACCCGCACATGCTGAGCTGCGGGCACAACTTCTGCCTGGCCTGCCTCCAGGGCTGCCTGTCCCTCGGGGCTCAAGGGGCGCCCTGCCCGGAGTGCCGCCTCCCCTTCCAGATGCGGGACCTAGTGCGAAACCGCGCCCTGGCCAATGTGGCTAGGAAGGTCCGCCGCTTGGAGCGCGACCAGGGATTGGGGGCGCTGCCGGGGGAGGGGGACTTCTGCGAGGAGCACGACGAGCCCCTCAAGCTCTTCTGCCTCCAGGACCAGCTCCCCATCTGCGTCATCTGCCGGGATCTGCCCCGCCACCGAAGGCACCGTTTCCTGCCCACTAAGGATGCGGTGCAAGATGCCCAGGTGAGACTCACACACACACACACGCACACCCAAGTGCGCATCTCCTCTGGGCAGGCCCGTAGCCAGGATTTCAATGGGAGGGGGGGCTGAGTTTGTTTCGGGGAGGGGGGGTCTACCCTAGCAAATCTTTTATATCGTTACTACAGCCAGGCATGTAGCGGGGGGGGGGGCTTGAGGGGCTTCAGCCCCCCCCCCCCGAAATTCTCATGGTGGTTCGCGAAAAGGCCTTACTGGTACATTATTTAAACTGTTATGTTTATTCATATCATGATCTGATCACCATACTCAATATATCCCATATGCATGGGGGTATTAGGGAGCCCCCGGTGGTGCAGTGGGTTAAAGCGCTGAGCTGCTGAGCCTGTTGATCGAAAGGTCGCAGGTTCGATTCCGGGGAGCGGCGTGAGCTTCCGCTGTCAGCCCTAGCTTCTGCCAACCTAGCAGTTCGAAAACATGCAAATGTGAGTAGATCAATAGGTACCGCTCCAGCGGGAAGGTAACGTCCGCTCCATACAGTCATGCTGGCCACATGACCTTGGAGGTGTCTATGGACAATGCCGGCTCTTTGGCTTAGAAATGGAGATGAGCACCACACCCCAGAGTCAGACATGACTGGACTTAATGTCAGGGGACTACCTACCTACCTATGGGGGTATTGGGTAACGATACAAAAGGTTTGCTAGGGTAGACCCTCTTTCACTCAGACTCAGTCCCCCCGAAACTCAGCCCCCCAACCCCCCCCCCCCTGAAAAAAACAGCCCCCCCCCCGAATCGAAATCCTGGCTGCGGGCCTGGTTACCTCAATACCCCCATGCATATGGGATATATTGAGCATGGTGATCAGATCATGCATGATATGAATAAACATAAGTTTGAATAATGTACCAGTAAGGCCTTTTCGCGAACCACCATGAGAATTTTGGGGGGGGGGGTTGAAGCCCCTCAAGGCCCCCCCCCCCCCCCCCCCCCGCCCCCCCCCCCCCCCCCCCGCACCCCCCCCCCCCCCCCCCCGCTACATGCCTGCCTCTGGGGAGGACCTCATCACACTAGAGGAGGGGTCCGCAAACTAAGGCCCGGGGGCGAAATGCAGCCCTCTGAGGTCATTTACCAGGCCCTCGCTCAGGGTCAACCTAAGTTTGTAACAACTTGAAAGCACACAACAACAACAACAATCCTATCTCATCAGCCAAAAGCAGGCCCACACTTCCCATTGAAATACTAATAAATTTATATTTGTTAAAATTGTTCTTCATTTTAATGATTGCATTGTTTTCAAGCGGTTTTTGCACTACAAATAAGATATGCGCAGTGTGCATAGGAATTCATTCGTTGTTGTTTTTTTCAAATTATAATCCACCCCTCCAACAGTTTGAGGGACTGTGACCTGGCCCTCTGATTTAAAGGTTTATGGACCCCTGCACTCAGGCATGTAGCTGGGGGGGGGGGGCTGTGGGGGCTGAAGCCCCCCCCCCCGAAATTCTCATGGTGGTCTGCAAAAAGGCCTTACTAGTACATTACTTAAAGTGTTAGGAGCCCCCGGTGGTGCAGTGGGTTAAACCCCCATGCCAGCAGGACTGAAGACTGAAAGGTCGCAGGTTTGAATCCGGGGAGAGGATTTCACTGATGTTGTTGTAGGTTTTTTCGGGCTATAAGGCCATGTTCTAAAGGCATTTTATCCTGACGTTTCTCCTGCATCTATGGCAAGCATCCTCAGAGGTAGTGAGGTCACCTCTGAGGACGCTTGCCATAGATGCAGGCGAAACGTCAGGAGAAAATGCCTTTAGAACATGGCCGTATAGCCCGAAAAAACCTACAACAACCCAGTGATTCCTGCCATGAAAACCTCGACAATACATTTTTTCACTGATGTTTGGGTTTCTGTGCTCTTCAGGGAAAACTGAAGCCATATCTGAAAGTACTGAAGAAGAATCTGGCATCTATCACTAGAGATGAATCTCTTCAGGAAAAGGAAATTGCAACACTGGAGGTAAAAGTGGTTTTGGTTGTGAGATACTTTAATTTAAAGGAAGAGCCCCAATTAATCAATCAATTAATCAGTTTGGTAATTCTGCCTCCCACCCTTTCAGTGCGGCATGCAGACTGCAAGATAGCCCTCTTGGTGTATTTGATGCTTTCTTTAACAATCTATATAAATAAACATGTAATGTTCGTTTGTCGGATTAACATAACTCAAAAACCACTGGATGAACTGACTCCAAATTTGGACACAAAACACCTCTCAGGCCAACAAGTGTCCATCACCCCTAAACACACACACACACACACAAAACCTCAGCAGAACAGACTTTAAACCCCAAAAAATACACCATATATACATGTACAAATACACTCATATACATATACACATGCACACATTCATACACATACACGTATATATATTCACAAACACACACAAATATACACACACATACAGATACATACACACACACACATATATATATATACACATGTGCACACAAATATACATATATGCACATATACATATACACATGCACACACATATACATATATATATACACACAAATATGCATATAGACTAGCACACACATATACACAGTATACATGGACACATATAAACACACAAATACATGCACACACATATATACACTCATAGATAGATAGATAGAAAGAAAGATAGATAGATAAATATACATGCACATACAAACACACATATATACACACACATAAACACGGAGCCCCCGGTGGCGCAGTGGGTTAAACCCCTGTGCCGGCAGGACTGAAGACCGACAGGTCGCAGGTTCAAATCCGGGGAGAGGCGGATGAGCTCCCTTTATCAGCTCCAGCTCCTCATGCAGGGACATGAGAGAAGCCTCCCACAAGGATGATAAAAACATCAAATCATCTGGGCGTCCCCTGGGCAACGTCCTTGCAGATGGCCAATTCTTTCACACCAGAAGCGACTTGCAGTTTCTCAAGTCGCTCCTGACATGACAAGAAAACACACACACACATAAACACATATATACACACACAAAACGCATATACACAGACTGGGCCACAGCAACACATGGCAGGGGACGGCTAGTCAATATTAAAATTGAACATGGGGTTTTGTTTTTTTCTGGTTTCAGAGTTTAACTGAAGATATCTTGAAGGACATTTCGAAAGGTTTTGAAGTTCTTCACCAGACCTTGCATGAAAAAGAACAAAGTTTTAAGAAGATTGTTCAGGGGATGAAGGAGGAAAACCTGAAGGAGATGAAGACCGCCTTGGCTTCCTTGGAAGAGGACAGGGCTTCGCAAGCTGAGACTCTTTCCAACATCAAAGCAGCATTGGTCACTACAGATCATATTGCCTTTCTTAAGGTAGGCAAGAGCATACACAGATCCCCCACATTCACCGGGTTAGGATCACAGAACCCATGTAAAAGTGGGGGAGGGGGGAGCATGAATTATAAATGCTATTTTCTTTAATCTGAGAGAACACATCTCTCAGAATATGTAGGTTCTCCAGTGCAATTCTATGGTCAACGTCTGCACTTTTTGACATCCGCAAAAAGGTCCCAGAAGTGAATCTTGCAAATCCAGAGAACCCGCTGTGTATAAATGCCATTTATATATGCTTATTTTTCCTAGCCTTCATCTTGGTGATCAAGGTGATATAGATGTCCTCATAAAATTATATCTTTTCAACAGCTTCCTGAGATAGACTAAGGTCAAAACTGATCAGGAATCATAGAGTTAGTTGGAAGGGACCTCTTGGGCCATCCAGTCCAACCCCCTGCCAAGAAGCAGGGCAATCGTGTTCAAAGCACCCCCAACAGATGGCCATCCAGCCTCTTTTTAAAAGCCTCAAAAGAAGGAGTCTCAACCACACTTCGGGGCAGAGAGTTCCACTGCTGAACAGCTCTCACAGTCAGGAAGTTCTTCCTAATGTTGAGGTGGAATCTCCTTTCCTGTAGTTTGAAGCCATTCCTCCATTGCGCCCTAGTCTCCAGGGTGGCAGAAAACAAGCTTGTTCCCTCCTCCCTATGATTTCCCCTCACATATTTATACATGGCTATCATGTCTCTTCTCAGTCTTCTCTTCTGCAGGCTAAACATTCCCAGCTCTCTAAACCGCTCCTCACAGGGCTTGTTCTCCAGATCATGCTCTAATCACTGACCCCCATAACTATCTCATACCAAATACTGAGTGTCTGAGTGTCAAATTGTAAGTTATATGCCTTTATTATTGACCATTATGTGGTGCTGTAGTTTGCAATAGTTTGTACTTATTTCCAGCTTATTTTGACATAATGAGGGGATTTTTCAAAGGTTGTTGAATAATAATGATACTTGCAGATAATAATAGAGATAAAACAATACTTTTTATTGAATTGGAAGTGAGAAAGTGTTGTTTGGGGACACCTGCTCGGCCCCACAGCCTTTGTCCTGTGGGGTCCCGCAGGGTTCAATACTTTCCCCCATGTTGTTTAACATCTACATGAAGCCGCTGGGAGAGGTCATCCTGAGTTTTGGAGTTCAGTGCCATCTGCACCTCTACTACTCCTTTCCACGTGCTGCTAAGAAGGCTGTTCAGAATGCAGACAAAACAGAGGTACTTCTGGTCAGTCGTAAGGCTGAACAAGGTATAAGGTTACAGCCTGTGTTAAACAGTGTTACACTTCCCCTGAAGACATAGGTTTGCAGCTTGGGAGTTGTCTTGGATTCGTCTCTGAGCCTAGAACTTCAGGTTTTGGCGGTGGCCAGGGGAGCATTCACACAATTAAAACTTGTGCGCCAGCTGCTCCCGTACCTTGAGAAGCCAGGCTTGGCCACAGTGGTCCACGCTCTCATCACATCTTGAACAGATTACTGCAACGTGCTCTACGTGGGTTTGCCTTTGAAGATTGGTCAGAAACTTCTAGCAGCCCAATGGGCCACAGCCAGGTTGCTCACCGAAGCGGCATACAAGGAGCATAGCACCCTGTTGTGTCAGCTCCACAGTACTTGCTTTAGTCTATAAATCCCTAAATGGTTCTGGTCCAGCTTACCTGTCCAAACCCATCTCCCTTTATGAGCCAGTTAGAACACTAAGATCTACCAGGGAGGTCCTGCTCTCGGTCATGCTGCCCTCACAGGCGCAACTGGTGGGGACAAGAGACGGCCTTCTCGGTGATGGCCCCTCATCTATGAAACTCCCCAATGAGATTAGATCACCCCCCTCCCTCCTAGCATTTAGTAAACAACTTTAGACCTAGCTTTTCAAGCAGGCATCTGGTGAATGACAGTAATATGGAAATATGGAAGTAGATAACCTCTGGATTGATGCACGTCTAAATGCTTTATATTGTGTCTATGATTGTTGTTTTATAGTTTTGTGGTTTTAATTCATTGTCATATGTTGTTGATTTGATATGTGATGTTCTATACATGTGAGGCACTGAATTTTGCCATTGATTATGTTGTGAACCTCTTTGAGTCACCCCAAGAGTGAGAAAAGCACTATATAAATGCAATAAATGATAATAATGATAAGACTATATATGACTACATTTCAGTCCTTTCTCTTTTGTCTAGGATTTCAAGAATCTGATGGACAAGTAAGTTTTAAAACGTATTTCCGCAACTTGTCACTGTATAAACACCTCTTTTTAAACCCTTTCTAATTTTAGAAACACACTCAGCAGCTAATTTTAAAAACACACTCAGATTCTTAGTGCCCCCTAAGACAAGGCTTACCTGAAGCAGAAGGGAACAAAAATGGAGGAGTTTGGTGTGTTCATTTTCTGTAACATTTTCTGGCTTGTGATCCCACCAGTTCTTTGTCGCAAGCAGATGGTATTTGTGGCACAAGTTCCAATTAATCATCTGAGCAACGGTGTTGTGCCTCTGCTTGTAGTCTGTCTGTCCAATCTTCTTGCAGCAGCTGAGGATGTGATCTATTGTTTCATCTGCTTCCTTGCGGAGTCTACATTTGGGATCTGTTGTCGACTTTTCAATTCTGGCTTTGATGGCCTTGGTTCTTCTTCTTCTTTTTCTTCTTCTTCTTCTTCTTCTTATTATTATTATTATATTTCAGGCTCTTTGAACTATATATAAGCTGTTAAATTTTTAAACTTAACCCTCTCTATCCTTTCAGAGTTCAGAAATACCCTCTAGAGGAGGAAGATAAAGGTGAAAGCAGTAGCGATGAGGAGGAGGCATCCAACAAAAATAGAGAACACTCTGAGCAAGAAGAGGCAAGTAATGATGAAGAGGAAGGGGATGGTGATGAGTTAGAAGAGGATGATGATGAGTTAGAAGAGGATGATGATGAGTTAGAAGAGGATGGTGATGAGTTAGAAGAGGATGGTGATGAGTTAGAAGAGGATGGTGATGAGTTAGAAGAGGATGGTGATGAAAGGGAGTATGAAATTGAAGAGTTTGGGGACGAGAAAGAGGAAGAAGAAGATGAGGGAAACGTGGTATTGGTGGATCCAGCCCTTGAGGAATTTAAGGATAACATGGACTTTGAGGCTTGGAAGGAAATGTTGCTACAGGAAATCATGGCTGGAAAGGAGAATGAAGAGGAAGCAACAGATGACCGCATCTCGGCCTATGAGCCCACGAGGGCCTTGAGATCATCTGGGGAGGCCCTTCTCTCGATCCCGCCTGCCTCACAGGCACGTCTGGCGGGGACGAGAGATAGGGCCTTCTCAGTGGTGGCCCCCCGGCTATGGAGCACCCTCCCTGTTGACATCAGACAGGCGCCCTCCCTTATGTCATTTCGTAAGAGCCTAAAAAAAAAGCTATTCGAGAAGGCGTTTAACTAAGTGCTATAGCAATTGGCTGACGACTGGAACAGAATATGGATTATGAGATTGGTTTATGATTCTATGATGAGACGACGCGGATGATTTAGTTTAATTATATGATTGTGGTATTATTGATTGTTATGTAGATATTCGTTATGCTATGACTTATTGTAAACTGTTTTTATATGTTGTACACCGCCGTGAGTCGCCCTAAGGGGCTGAGAACGGCGGTCAACAAATGCAATAAATAAATAAATGATGAGCCAGTGGATTAAATTTACCAATCCTTAAGGATCAATTTCACCAGCCTCTTTTGAGGAAAATAGCATCTTGCAAAGGGGCTAGTGATGAGAAATTCTTCAACTAAGTCTTCAATTGTTTTTATTATTATTTCAGAGCTACATAATATTTCTTGTTATTTTCAATAAGAACAGACCGAACTGGATTCCTTGACCTTTGCTGTGAGCAGTCTTTGGTCTTAGCTTGCCATTTGCTGCTCCGTCTAGCAGTGCCTAAAGATATTGAGTCGTTCTGTGACATCCAATGGAGCCCTGTAAAAGTTTTTGTTCCTTTGTTCTTTGGAGTGTGTGGGACTACTATTCTCAGAATCTCCAGTGGTCATTCTGGCTGTGGGATCCTGGAACCTGTAGTCAAAGTTTTCTGCTATCTTTACAAGTTCCAATAAGTAAATAAATAGTTACTGATCTTATAAATATTATGTGTAAGTTTTATTCCTTATTGTATTTTGTGTTTTTCTCTAGACTGTAATCTTGTTACTATGAAATAATTTTGGAGTAGGATTCACCTGTACTTAAAGTGTGAGTTTGGATGTGTTCACAAAGGTGATTTCTTTCAATCCTTTACAACATGAAGTACATTATTTCAGTATTCTTAGGTCTACAAAAATGAGAGTCTATGACCTTCTGGGGTGCTCTGTTCCCAACTTATAGTCTTGTACTATCCAGGAATTCTTCATAACAATTACTCAAAATCTCCTTTCCCCCCACTTTGAACTCTTTGTTTAATTTCAAATATGTTTAATATGTGTGTTTTATAGAATATGTTTAGATGATTGTATGTTTTTAATGATGTTACCTTCCTCAAGCCACGAGGAAAGGCAGAAAAGAATTATAAAATAATTTATTATTATTATTATTATTATTATTATTATTATTATTAATATTTGAAACACAACAAGATGAGTCCACAGCACACACTCTGCTGGCTGTTGTATTGGATCACACGCCGGACACTTCCCAAGAGTCTAGGACTGTGTGATGTATCGGCGAATAATGCGTTCAGATCCCAGTAAGGTGGCCTTTTGCAGCTGGCAGATGGTAATCTTGTCAGTGCCGATTGTGTTTAAGTTCAAGCCAAGGTCTTTAGACACTGCACCCAATGTGCCGATCACCACTAGGACCACCTTTACTGGTTTGTGCCAGAGTCTTTGCAGTTCGATCTTTAAATCCTCATATTGTGTCACCTTTTCCAGTTGTTTCTCTTCAATCCTGCTGTCACCCAGGATTGCAACATCGGCAATCCATACTTTGTTTTTTAACACAATTGTGAGGTCAGGAGTATCATGCTCCAAAACTCTGTCTGTCTGAATTCGGAAGTCCCAGAGTAGCTTGATGTGTTCATTCTCTGTAACTATTGTTGTTGTTGTTGTTGTTGTTATTATTATTATTATTTCACCACCACTGGAGCACCAGAGTGAGTTTTCCAGATTAGACTGGTCCCACCCTGTCCACATTTCCTAAAGACCTAAAAACGTGGATGTGGATGTTCACCAGATAATTCCCCACCACCACCATAACTCAAGGTCCCACCCTTGCCTTTTACCACTGTTCCCTAACCTATACACATACTGTTTCATTTCATATTGCCCTCCTAGTCCTAATTTATCACCTGGCTCCTGCATTTTATCCATCAGCCCTGTCTTTGTAGCTGAATTACACCAGACCACCCGCCTGAGCTCAGTATTTGTTTACTATGTCAGGCTACTGGTTGTTTGTTCAGTGGTTGTTTTGTGTTGTTTTAATATGTTGTTTTAGGGTAAAATTTAAAACAACACAAATGTGACTTGATAATATTATAGAATTGCACTAAACAGTGGCAGGGAGATCTCAAATACAATGCTTTTTTTGTTGCCAGTCTGAACAAAATCTTCAAAACAATGAAGATTTCTGTATTGGGTAGTTATAGGTTTTTTGGAGCTATATGGCCATGCTCTAGAGGCATTCTCTCCTGACGTTTCGCCTGCATCTATGGCAAGCATCCTCAGAGGTAGTGAGGTTTATATATTATTTATTTATGTATTTACCATATTAATACCCCGCCCTTCTAAACCCCGAAGAGGACTCAAGGTGGCTTTGCACATAGGCAACTATTCACTGCATTAAAAACAACATACAATTGAAATAAACATTTAAATGAAGATTAAAATTAATACACATTAAAGCAGTTAAAAACGTTACATCCATTATTAAAACCATGCCATCCACAGTTGTAATCCGGGGACATGTCAATAGTCACTGGACATACCCCATATCCTTCTATTGCACTTCTGTGAAGGCGTGATCCCAAAGCCATGTTTTTACTCTCTTTCTGAAGGCCCTAATAAATAGAAATCAAAATTGAGATATGTGTCAGTGTGCAGGTATAGCTGAACCAGGAGCTCCAATTTTGTTTGCTTTGCATTTAATGTTTGTTATAGTCCTAAGTTTCAGGGACTCTGCAGATAGGTGGCTTCTTTTGGCTGCAATCATAGGGCAAGCCACCTGTCAATTATAGTTAGGTTCCCTGGTCCCGCCCCTTTTTGGGTTTTGGAGGGAATAGGAGCCAGTTTGGGTTCAGTCCACACAGAGAAGTTTTCGATGCAGGACATAATACCAAGAGCTCCTGTAGAAAGCTTCGTCTTCTACGGCTTGGCCGAGGAGATATACAGCCCACAGCTTGGCTGGGGTTATACAGCCCTACATCTCCTTTGCTGAAGGACTTCAGTCAGCCATCACGGAAACCTGAATTCTTTTTCCCCTGGAAGTCTACAAAGCTCTGCTTGGTAAGGGTCGCTCGCGGAAGCCAGAAGCAGTTGGTACCGAGTGCAGGAGCTCCACGCCAACAGAGGCAAAGACAGTCTGCCCAGATTAGGAGTTAAGGATTTCCCCATTAGTTAAAGTTATGAAGATAGTGCCTGTTCCCTGTGGACAAGATTGAGAGAGCGCCAATAGACTGTTAAGAAAGCCTTAAAGTACCTGTTTGTTTTCATGAATAAAGAACTTTGTTGAACCTTTAAGCAATCTAAAGACTTTGTTTTAAGGAAATCCAAGGGCCTTTAAACTGAGGCAGCCCCGGCATCCCGTTGGGCACACAGAATTTACGTCCTGTCTACAGTCTTATGCAAAGGCCCAGCGTGCGACAGCATTGTCAGAAATATTGAAAGTTAACTGTATTTTTAATTACAAAAATGATGTACAGGCACTGGAAGAGTTAAAATGTTTTAATGACTAAGCAAAGCCAATAGGTTAATATAAGCAGGTGTGCCTGTGAGTTACTTGCTCCTCCTCTGTGAAGACTTCCTTCTGTGTAAAGAATGGCTCAGTGTAAGCACTGCTGTGTTTGATTACTCCAAGGACAGAGCTGTTTCAGTTTGAAGATTGTTGTAGGTTCTTTATCTATATAATAGAGAAGCCCAGACTCGCTCCAATGCCAGAAATACAGCTTAATGGTGTAACATTAGAAAATGTTCACCATTTCCGCTACCTTGGCAACCACCTCTCCACAAAACTCAACATCGACACTGAAATACAACACCTCCTGAGCTCTGCGAGTGCAGCATTTTCCCGAATGAAGCAGAGGGTGTTTGAGGACCGGGACATCCATAGGGATACCAAGGTGCTTGTTTATAAAGTTATTGTCCTCCCAACTCTGCTATATGCCTGTGAGATGTAGACTATCTACAGACGTCACATGCAATTCCTAAAACAATTCCATTAGTGTTGCCTCTGAAAAATCCTGCTAATCTCTTGGGAAGACAAGTGGACAAATGTCAGCGTGCTGGAAGAAGCAAAGACCACCAGAATTAAAGCGATGGTCCTCTGTCATCAACTCCACTCGACCGACCACATTGTCCAGATGCCCGACCACTGTCTCCCAAAGCAGTTGCTCTACTCCAAACTCAAGAATGGAAAATGGAATGTTGGTGGGCAGGAAAAGAGATTTAAAAATGGGCTCAAAGCCAACCTTAAAATCTCTGGCATAGACACTGAGAACTGGGAAGCCCTGGCCCTTGAGCACTCCAGCTGGAGCTCAGCTGTGACCAGCAGTGCTGTCGAATTTGAAGAGGCACATATGGAGGGTGAAAGCGAGAAACGTGGCAAGCCAACCCTGACCAGGACCGCCTTCCACCTGGAACCAATGCAGATAAAGAATATGGCTCTACAGTCACATACGGACCCACCGCCAGTGGAAGACAATCCTACTCAGACAAGATATCGCCTAAGTAAGTAAGTAAGAGAAGCCCAGAGTGAAGGCAAGAAGCTGAAGCAAAGATATAACAAGGAAGTATAAATAATTTAAAAAACCCTCAAAAAACAGAAAGCCAGGTACTATGCTTTTTTGTTGCTTCCATTCAAATCTGCCCTTGCCAACAGCAACAAAGTGTAATTTGAAGTCCTAGATGTTTATTGGTATAGTTATGTGGTGGTGGTGGTGGCAAAAAGATGACGTTGACCCCAAACTGGGCCCCATTGAAGTTTTCCTGCAGCCCCCAAATTTCTGGCACCACAGGCCCCATCTACACTGCCATATAATATCGTTTTAGAATGCTTGACTGTATTGAACTGGATTATATAAGTCTATATTGCCATATAATGCAATTCAATGCAGTTAAACTGCATTCTGAAACTGTATTATATAGCAGTGTAGATGGGGCCACAGCGAGAGAGGAATTGAAAACAGTTCACATCAAGAGCTCCTATATAATTGTTGAGGCATCAAATTGTTGCCAATTTGTGAACTGCTCCGAGTCGCCTCTGGGCTGAGAGGGGCAGTATATAAATAAATATAAATAATAAAATAAATATATCTTCTGTGTTAGCACTTTCTTGGTAACTTTATCTGCCTCTTCTCTTTGGATGTCTGAACAATTCCAAACATCCAGCTGAAGTTTGTAAAGTTACTGCAGTGCTAGGATTTTGGGAACTTGAAACTTCATTTAGACAAGGCAAAAATAATCAACCTTTGCCTTTTGGGATTTTATAATAATAAAACTTTATTTGTACCCCGCTACCATCTCCCCGAGGGACTCGGTGCGGCTTACATGAGGCCGAGCCCACAATACATCAGCAAAACAACAATAACATTATATTTTAATATAATCTTTTAAAGCTGATTGTATCTGTGGATGAAAGAATCGGTGGATTGATCCGACTGACTCACAATAGTTTCTATTCACTTTTCACACGTAGAGAGGGACAATTCCTCGTCTTTATTCCCGTGTTTTACTTTTCTGTGTGCGCCACCCATGCAATTGGCTGCACCCTTTCAAATCTACTAAATGGAATAGATTATGTTGTGATTGATGGATGGAACTAGAAGAAATCATTTTCACAGTGTGTTTTGCAGTGTTCCCCTTCGTTGACAGTTATAGAGCTGCTCAGATGTCAACACTGGAAAAATAGCTAAATGTAGAAAAAAAACTCAGGGAGGGGAATTTATGTGAACGCATGAACCACGATGATTCACTCCTGCTTCCGCAGGGTGTAGCAAAACTCATATCAGCTGATCTGCATGTGATTTGTGATCTCACACAGAAGGTGGTAGACCTCTTGCCTCAGCGATTTTGAGAAATGCTAATGTTATGAGGCAACTGAAGAAGAAGAGTAGACACTAGCCAAGAACCGAAAGTTATCTCAGGTTTTTGCTTCAGTTTCTCATCTGTCTGGCTGGATCATATTTGTTGTGAAATTTTGTACTTAACATGGAAAACTCTGTGTCAGCTTTTCAACAAATATCCAAGAGTCTGTAAATCAAATCATAGAATCATATAGTTGGAAGAGACCTCGTGGGCCATCCAGTCCAACCACCTGCCAAGAAGCAGGAATATTGCATTCAAAGCACCCCTGACAGATGGCCATCCAGCCTCTGTTTAAAATGAAAATACGTGTAGCATAATAGATATTTCCATTAAGATTTATAACAGTAGGAAAATTACAATATGTTACTAATTGACAACTCGCATCATATTTTATTATCCACCATGTGGACTGGGGATAAAGGGAATTGCAACACTTGTGGGTCTGAAGTTAGGAAAAAATCATAGAACATTGTAGAGCCAGGCATCCTATCCACAAGCCTTGTGTCTAAATTAAAACCCCAGTATCCTCCAGTGCTAAAAAGTTGTATGAAAAATGCAACAGTTAAGGTTTATAATTTGCAGAATTTGAAAGCAAAATTGCCTAATTATCATATTCAGAATAGCTGCTTAGATTTGAAGAAGTGAAATTTGGCATGTCTAGATAAAGCATCTAGACATCCTGTATTAGAAATCATATTACCCTAAATACCAGGGTTTGAACAGTGGGAATGTACTACATCTTACTATGTCCCATGTTATGTTTGGGGGCTTTCCATGTTCTATGTTCCACTATGGGAACAGAACAGCAAACTATAAATCCTATTTTTATCTGATCCAATAGGACTTTTTTCATTTTGCTTTGTTTGTTGTTGGATGTCTTACAAATAAAAGCAATCTCAACATAGAACAACTAAGTTAATAGCTGGTTTACAACATTCAGGTTCTTTCCAACTCCGTGCCATGTTCTCTTCAGGTAGACTAGTTTTTCTGATAGAAGCCAAGCCGAATCTTGAAAGGGTTACAGATTGTAGATGGTTTGAAAAAGGGACAAGCAAACAATCAGCAGCAGGAGGCTAAAGACCTTGAAAGCCTGCAATTTCAGGGTATCCATAGCACTGAGCCATGGCAGTTAAAATGGTGTCAAACAGCATTAATTCTACAGTGTAGATGCACCCATTTGCACCCATTTATATAGAATCATTCTCCTCCTCCTCCTCCTCCATCATTGCATTAATTCTACATATTAGGATTACATGAGAGATAAATGATAAATACTGAAGAGATGCGGTGCAATGTGAGGTCACCCCATGTTGAGAATTCAACCCATGTTTCCTTTGTTTCCAGAGAGCTATGGCCACAACACACCATGAATGTGAAACTGATCTTGTGACTCAGATGCCACAAACTCGTTCTGACTTTTCATTGGTTTCCTGTAACATGGTTTACAAAATAAGTAAGAGTCACGACAACTTCAAGTTTTTGATTTTTTTTAAGATAAGCAGAAAGGTAATTAGGTAAAGGTTTTCCCCTGACATTAAGTCCAGTCGTGTCTGACTCTCTGGGGGTTGGTGCTCATCTCTATTTCTAAGCCGAAGAGCCAGTGTTGTCCGTAGACACTTCCAAGGTCATGTGGCTGGCATGACTGCATGGAGCACCATTACCTTCCTTCCAGAGTGGTACATATTGAACTACTCACATTTGCATTTTTCGAACTGCTAGGTTGACAGAAGCTGGGGCTAACAGCAGGAGACCCAGGGCTGCCCAGATTCGAACCTCAACCTTTTGATCAGCAAGTTCAGCAGCTCAGCGGTTTAATCCATTGCACCACAGGGGGCTCCTAGAAAGGTAATTATGGTGTTGTTATACACTAAGTCTCCTTTGTTTCCATCTGATCACTGGTAATACCCTTTTCTTGTCCATATACCCTTTTCTGGGGGGAAATGAAACCAAATATTGAAAAATTAATCTCCTGGCCCAATAACAAAGGTTGGTTTTTTTTAATTATTATTACAGTGCTTAATTATCACGCATCTCTCAGGTTATCCTTACAAGCACAACTACAGACAGTCCCCAAGTTACAAACAAGATATGTTCTATAGGCTTTGCAAGTTTGTTATTGAGTTGAATTTGTTTATTAAGTCAGAACAGTTGAACATTTCCACTACCTTGGCAGCCACTTCTCCACAAAAGTCAACATTGACACTGAACACAACACCACTTGAGCTCTGTGAGTGCAGCACAGTCTTTAGAAAACTCATAGCAAAGGGATGGGGGTTACAGGTCCAACACCCTCCCCCCCATGCCATTCATGTTAAAAAAAACAGGTTTACTCATTTAAAGTGTAACTCCAGCCATAGATAGATAGATAGATAGATAGATAGATAGATAGATAGATAGATAGATAGATAGATAGATAGATAGATAGATAGATTCATGCACACATACATACACACACATACATACACATAATACTTTCAATAGCATAGGGAAGGGATAACACCCCTGTGAAGTTTGTCTTGCTGTCTGTGCCCCTATTCAGAAGATTTCATCTCACTTTCTGTCCCTGTGATAATTTGTGATACGAAATCCAGCATATAGATCTCGTTTGATGTGGCATACTGTGCTTTTGTATCAATAATAATAATAATAATAACAGAGTAAAATAATAATTAACTTTGACTCGAGTATAAGCTGAGGGGAGCTTTTTCAGCCTAAAAAAGGGCTTAAAAACTCAGCTTATACTTGAGTATATGATACTTAGGCGATCCTTTGTTGTTCCAGTATGATGGCTTTCCAAGTGTAGTGTCTTGGCAGTGGATATGTAGGTGACTGTGAAGCCCTGTTTTTGATCTGCATGTTCTTCCACAGTGAGGACATCAGTTTCCAGAGGAAGGGGGTTCCGGTCAGGGTTGCCTTGATGTGCCTTCCTCTTGGCATGTTTCTTCCTTTTGCTCTCTATTTGTGCCTCTTTGAATTCTACAGCACTGTTGGTCACAGCTGACCTCCAACTAGAGTGGTCAAGGGCCGGGGCTTCCCAGTTCTCGGTGTCTTTGCCACAGTTTTTAAGGCTAGCTTTAAGCCCGTCTTTAAATCTCTCTTCCTGTCCACCAACATTCTGTTTTCCGTTCTTGAGTTGGGAGTAGAGTAACTGCTTTGGGACATAGTGATTGAGCATTCAGACAATGTGGCAAGTCCAAMAGAGTTGATGGCRTAGGAGCATCACTTCARTGCTGGTGGTCTTTGGTTCTTCCAGCATGTCGACATTTGTCCATCTGTCTTCCCAAGAGATTTGCAGGATTTTTTGGAGGCAACGCTGATGGAATTGTTCCAGGAGTTGAGTGTGACATCTGTAAACAGTCCACATTTCACAGRCRCATAACAGGGTTGGAAAGACAATGGCTTTATAAACAAGCACCTTGGTGTCCCTACAGATGTCCTGATCCTCAAACACTCTCTGCTTCATTTGGATGGCAAGCTATTTAGCCTCAGCAAACTGAAAGCCAAAAACAAGGTCACAACAACATCTAGAACTCCAATATGCTGATGACAATGTAGTCTGTGCTCATTCAGAAGAAGACCTACGAACCACTCTAAACACCTTTGCAGAAGCATATGAGAAACTCAGCCTCTCATTGAACATTGAGTGCTCTTCCAGCAGGCACCAGCCAATCCCTCTGCAATGCCAAAAATATAACTTAATGGTGTAACATTAGAAAATGTTGAACATTTCCACTACCTTGGCAGCCACCTCTCCGCAAAAGTCAACATTGACATTGAACACAACACCACTTGAGCTCTGTGAGTAAAGCACAGTCTTTAGAAAACTCATAGCAAAGGGATGGGGGTTACAGGTCCAACAGGCCCCCCCTCCCCCCGCTGTTCATGTTAAAAAAAACAGGTTTACTCATTAATTTTAATTAATTAACCAAAATCCCCATGCTATGAGATGCAAAAATTAGAGTTCCTCCAGAACTGCAAGCACTATCTCAATCAAATGTTGATCATTTATTCACAATATAATTACCTACCTTTCTGCCAATTTAGAGTGGAATAGCAGTAATAGCCGACATAGTGGAAGCAACCAAGTTTTGAACTGCAGACATTTAATCAACATTTTAATGTGAATACGACATAACCCACCAAAACTGAAATCGGAATAGGACTTCCCAGTTTAAATTCCATAAGAAAAAACTTGTTTAAATGCAATTTATGGTGTTTCCATGTATAATTTGTGCTTACTTTAAATGTTTATACTTTAAGTTCTCTGAAACTATCAAGTATTTTTTTAATAACGAGGTACTGAATTAAAGGTTATTTTTATGGAGTTTCTAAAAATATAATAATATGTGAGGGTTATAGATCCTGATTTTTAGGTATTCTAATTTAAAGTGAAAATATATGTATTAGATCTTTCAAAATGTTGTATCTCTGATTCTAATCAACATCTTGTCTGTGATAGACAGTTTTTTCTATATGAAAAAAACTTCTTCAGATTTCTGCAACATTGGCATTGTTAACAGCTAGCAATGAAAGGTCGTTATCAACTCTTAAATGTTTGAAAATATGCATAAGAAGTACAATGGGGCAAGAATGACTGGCTGGACTTGTCCTCTTGAGTGTCCACCAAAGTTTATTAATGGAGCCTGATTTCTGTCAAAGTGTATTGACACAGTTTTCAAGTGTTTCCAAAAGGTGTTGTTTTTATCAGCTAAATTACCAACTGAGAGTTGTTTTCAAGGTTTTTTAAGACTTGAAACTTTGTAACTAAAATAGAAATTTGATTCAATTCAGTCTATATAAAAATATAGAATGTGTTCTAGAATTTAAATTATTTTGTGTTACTGACCTACTCTTCATGATTTGTTTCAACACTAACACTACCCCTCCATTTTTTTCTGGCTATGAGCCTATTCTTTCACTTTTTCTGCCATAGAGAGCTGGTGCCTCACCAAGCTACAACTCCCAGGGACCGATAGCATGGAACAGCGG